CCACCTAAACCCTTATACTTAATAAATTCCCCTTCGCTATTAAATCCCCTTTCCTTGATATATTTAATTAATCGAATTAATGCGATTAATTGCCGGGGTATCCATATCAAGGAATTGATCGCCATACTCGCTCTCACGTGAGGCCCCGGCATTTTAATTTCATCATGTTATTGGGCCTTACAATATATAATGATATATACAATTATATTATGTCATTTATTAGGAATCATCAATAAATAACGTACGAATGTTTTTTTGGAATTAGTATAAGTTTTTACCCAGTTTACAAAAATTTTGAGTGATTTAGGCATTCATAAGCGCCTTTTTATAATTTACTGAGTAAGGTATTACTTAACAAACGGTGTCTCCGGTATATGATGTGTATTATAAATTTTATGAGTAAATATTATGAAGAGTTCATGTTTATAATTTTTTATAATCTTTAATACTACGTATAAATTAAGATATAACATACATCAAATTATGATTCCAAAACACTAATATTAACAAGAATACCAAAATGGTGTATAACTATATATTATAAAAAATAAAAAAAATGAAGATATAGTAAGAGAGAAAAGCGTAGCTAGAGAATTATATTCAACACCCTTCGCTGTAATTTTTCTTTCTTCATGGAAATTATGAATATTCATGATAGCTTTTATAACTATATCTTTAGTTAATTTTTTGCCCTGCTCTTGAGCTAATAAATTTGCAGCATGTAAAACATTACGAATTTCGCGACCATTTAATTCAAAATTAATAAAATCATCCACATTGAGTTGTATCTTTAATTTCTCAATAAATTTAGTCCAAACTTCTTTTCTTTTCTTCTGATCGAATTTTGGATAATGGAAAAACATATTAACCCGTGAACAGATCGCGGGATCAAAATTTGTGACACGATTTGTTGTCAAGAATAGGACACCTAAAAAGAGAAATGTAGCGATATTATAAAATATAGAATCAATTAATAGTAATGAAGAAGAAATGACAAAACTTGAAATCTATATAATCTGTTTTCAATTTACCTTGATAGTATTCCAAATGACGTAAAAATATGCTAACCATTACATTACGTTTTAGATCAGTTGTGTTGCGTCTTTCGAGATAAATATCAGCTTCGTCAAGTAAAAGAACGGCATTCCATTTATGAGCTATATATAGGATCTGGACAAGTTTTTGTTCCACTCTATTTACAGGAAAGTGGTTAACGCATTATAGAATAGCAATAAACTTATAAGGAAAAATCAATGCGCATAAACACTACATACTTATCAGGCTCTGTCCCAAGTTCGTGCACGCTCATCATCCATAAAGGATGTTCAAGGAATTCAGCTACGGATTCAGCAGTTAACGTTTTTCCCGTGCCAGGAGGTCCATAACATAAGAAGATGCATCCATTACCTTTACCGACAATGGGATCAAGCGATTTCGATGATGAGTGATTGACACCTTTGTTTGACCCTGTACACTTTTTCACTAGCCCTTCAAGTATTTCTCTTTGTTCCATAGGTATCACTAGACTATTTAAGGCATTTGGATCAAAATGTACGTTGTTTATTTTTGAAACATCAAAACATCCCCATTCTTTCAATGCAAAACTAAAACCATAAACTATTGCGGGTGCGCGAATATGATGTTCTTTTATTAATTTCTTTTCATCGAGATAAATATTTCTCGCTTTAAGCAATTGAGTGTCACATTCGTTTGGCGGTGTAGCATTTTCCATAAATTCGTAATCAGGATTCATTAGCGCAAAACTTTCAACATCAATCATAATGCGGCCATCAGCCCTTATTCTCTCTACTTTAACACAATTGTTCACTCGTTTCCAGCGTAATAGCGGGCCTTTATATTCCTGATAATGCCTCCCTTTTGCGAGGTCAAAAAACTTTTTTCCACGCTCAGCAAAATTTTTCTCAAGGGAGTTTTGGCATTCAAGATATTCAAATGGAGCAACAATTAACTCGGAGAATTTCTTCTCACCCACAAAGTACTCTATTTTACGTCTTATACAGCCTTCTTTAAATCCCTCACCATCACAATCGATCATCTTAATGGAAATCACGAATACCCTTATTCCTTCTGGATCATCTCGGTAGTCTCTATATTCATATGTTATAGAAACTTCACCACCGAGCTTTTGGCCAGATAAGTTACATTGACTATGAAGAAACAATTCCAATACAAAAAAAAAATAACAATTGCCAAAAAAAAAAACAAATGTATAATTGCAACTTTTGTATTGATAATTTTAGAGCATTTGCTTGGGAATAAAAATTGCAAAGAACGAGATACTTACTATTGTACAAACTTCTTTGGAGGAAAGAATACCCACAACATATCAAATGAAACTACACGTATTGCAATCATCCATTCTCTAGTACATATCTCTTGTTTATATTCTTCTTTAAGAAAACGGATCAAGTGCTTCAAGTAAATGGTTGATTCGTCTAAAAGTTGGAAAAATCTTAATTATCAGCTCTAATATAAAATCAATTAGCATATGGACATATAAAACTATTATAAGAGAATTTTTTTTCCTACTAATTTATATATTTACACTCATTTATGAACCAAATTAATACGTAGATTAGAAAAAATCACCATTATTTATATAATGTTAAATGCGTACAACTATTTCATAACGACAAATTCTGAACCCAAATTAAAAATTTATGATACAGTACTCTGAAAGGAGTAAATTTTTAGTTTGTTCCAGAATTATGAGAATGGTTGTAAGTGACGAAAATTCGAATCCCAAGTACGTAATAGAAATATCTAAACCAATAATTTGTACATCCATGTTAAATTATATAATTTGAAAAGGCATACCAGATTCTGTCACAGTTTCATGCGTAGATATTAATTCGGATTCAGTGGCATCATGTAGTTTGTCTAGGTCATGAAACAGGATCTTAGCTTCGATCTTAGGAGTGCGGCACTTTAAGTCATTATTCTCAGAAAGGATGCCTTTTAGTTTATTGATCAACGCCTTGCAACTCAATTCAACATATGTTGTGCAATCCTTTTCCGCGTATTCATAAATAATAATGAAAGGAGAGTCACTTTTTTGAGTTTTAATTTTTTCCGTTCGTTCCCTCTTCCCAGTTTGCTGGTTGTAATAATCTTCGTAGCAAGGCCACTTCCAATTATCATCTCGGAAATTTTCGACTTCTTTATCCATATCTGACATAATACAAGTAGAAAAAAAATTAACTACTCAAATTTAATCTTTTTTTTTATATACAAAGGAATCAAGGTTTTCGATTACTTTAAGAATTCATTAATAATACGAATCAAATTCAGTTTCGGATTATGACAAACTCGAAATTCTACACGTTTTAGAAATTACGTAATTTGTATTATTTGCGAGAATATCGATATGAAGAGTACAGACGTATTTAGCTATAAGGTGTGCTAAGGAGATTTACTTATTTACTCGGGTAATACAAACCAAAAAAAAAGGAAATTGATTTTGTAAATAAACTAAGTACAAGAAGTACGTGAGATAAAAATTTGGGCTAGGGCCCTAATATTAGAGGCTATAGAAACAAATTAAGCGTGTATTATATGTAAAGTTTTAATGCAAGCCGATTTAAACACTTGTTTTTGAGTATTTTCGCTTTTTTCTTCTTTCGTAGCGAAGCATGACTTAATTATTTCTATATAAAAAATATGGTTTAAAATAAATTGTAACTAATAACGGCAATATGTCAGTGCCAATACCTAGAAAAATTGTCCGGCATGTGCCAGGCATGCAGACCCTAATATGTTTGTACCTCTAAGATTATCGATATGCAATTATTCGACTGAACTGATATGCACAGAATTTACGAAATTTCCAAATATTGTGACGTACCAATTTTAAATGTTGAAATAAATATTTCCTAAATTATCGACTTTAATAATGCAATAAAGAATACGCCAAGAATAAAATAGTAATGATTTACGTTCATATGTATATTCTGTCTTATTTCTGTAGTTGGAAGGTGAAAATGATAAATCCAGTCATTGTTATGCATATAAGCCCCCTAACCTTAACTTTAAATCTGGTTAGGGCTACTCATTTTCTGCTGTAACCAAAAATTCTTCTTGCTTTACATTTCGAATTATGCGAATTATGCAATAAATTTTTAGAAGTATGCTGCAGATTATGCCACCACCAGGGTCGTTAAATCATTGTAATTAAGTAACCTGCCAGGTAAATGACCATACCTCCCGAAAACCCCGATAACCATGCTCGTGTTCGTTGACTGTCTATTAGCCCGAAATGTTCCGATATTACTCTATTTTTAATGCCGGCCATTTTATGCACAGATTATGCTTTATCAATTAATATTCTACGTATCGCACATACTTCGGAGATAAAATCCGATTTACGTGCAGATTATGCTACGTATCGCCGACATGCGCTAGCCCCAATTCTGGCGATTGTTATGCACACAAGCATCTAAAGTGTTATCGTTATTATTATGGATGAATAAAGCAATGCATCCACATGATTTTGAAGCTTTAGTTAAAATGACATTGTTGAGTTTTCTTTTTTCTTTATTTTAACCTCTTTGGTGCACTGCTTTAGATGATTCCTAAACCAACGCCCATGGGCGTTAATTTGCATAAATGCTGTAAGCAGCTATTTATTGATATCGAACAGGTTAATATATAAAGTAATTTTTACACTTTGTTACATTGTATGTACGTTGTGGGACCTGAATGGACCCTGGCCGGTTGGGGTCCATCGCCAAATTCGGAAAAGGGGGTCGATCGCATCCGTCGCATGCGACTGATCAGTCGCATGTGACGCATGTGATGAATGCGACAGATAGCAGCAATCGGTTAGAAGGAAAATATCAGTAGGATACGACTGATCAGTAGCATCAAAGATATCAGTCGTATCTATCGCATAATGTAAATAGAATCCTACAATTATAAATAAAGGCCGAAAAGGCCCTTTGGGAAAAACAATTCCCGCCCTTGACAAATAAAATAATACATTCGTTAATAAATAATCTGTCCCTAACCCGTAAAGTACATAAAGTGTGTTCGTATATCTTGAATAACCAACCCCGAAATCTCCCTTTCATTAAGTAAACCCGATCTAAAATCTTGTTAACCACTCGCCAAATCTAACACGCCTCTTTCGAACGAAATTAACCCAGAGTGGTTATACGACGTACCCAATTTTGGAGCTACCGACCTGAAGACCTTTTTCCCGTTCACAACGTACAATGTAGGAACTAGAGTTGCTGGTGAAACTAAATAATGATGGTGAAGCTGATGACTATCTAACAGTGATTTACTGTTATATTTAAGTTTCACCGGTTTCACCATCATTCACTAGTATTCGCTAAGTGTTTCACCAGTTTCACCGGCGACTCTAGTAGGAACCTATTACATTAATCAACCCATTTACATCAAATAAAGATAACATATTAAACTAAATTTGCTATTATTAGAGTGGTTTATTTAAGCTTCAGTAATATACTATTAAAGTTCAATATAGTTCAATTAAAAAACAAGATTTGAACTAATCGAAGGTTAGGATAATAGTAAGAGCCATAATAAATCATTTTTCATGTGAAATAGTTGTTCTGAAGAAAAATTTTCATATTAGATTTTCGCGGAATAACGTTCATGAGTGTCAAGAATGTAAATTTTTGACATCCAAGGCATGTTCAAGGCTCAAATAAGCTTTATGAATTAATTATTTTATTTAAAAACAATCTGATTATATATTTTTTTAGTTTTAATCATTTTACTTAGAATTAAAACAGATTATCTTTGGTAATTTTATTATTTAAAAATACCCAAGATGTTCAAATGTTGTCCAAAAACTGTCCCATAGCATTCTTGATGAGAGTTATTCCGCATAAACATGTAAGAACATACAAAACTTACCATGCGAAACTGCCATGAAACTTAAATCTTTAAATATTGTTATGAAATTATATTATATAGTTATCATTCTAAAAAATTTCACTAGCCAATCAAATTTCAAGATCTGGCGTAACAAAATCATTCATTTTATAGAACTAACGGGTATTTTACCTGGTAAATTACCGAAAATCTTCCGCAGTTGTGTGGTAACTTTTACTAATGCAGTAATGGTAAACTACCATTACAACCCTGGCCCTAATCATCGAAGCGTTCTTCCTATCAAATTTTTTTAAATGATTTTGACTGGTATTACTAGTCTCAAATAATCAACTAGAACAGCCTTGTTTCCTAATAAGTAATTAAGAAAAATACAGATCTCGATGATAATTTCCTTGTAGATTTAAGGTTTTCTGTAACACACGGGGAATAACGATAATGATATCAATTTTTAATATTCATGTGCAGATCTGCATAAAATTATAGTTTATTTATTTATCAAGAAAGGATTATTCATGTTATAAATATAAAATTATTTTGTTGGACTTAAGATTCTCGGGAAATATTATCAATATGAATTCACAAATTAAATGGAGCAATAATGATAAGTCCGAACATTTAGAGGTAAAAGCTGATGGCCTCGTGATTAATTGTAAAGGTGAGTTCATTGGCATTTTTGAGTTGAACTATAGTAAAATATTTTCGCAAATTTATTAAAGATATTAAATATGCCAATATAGATAATACTACAGACGAAGTCAAATCCAAAAATTTAGTTGCTTCTGCAATACGAACAAACATCCCAATTCCTCAAAAATGTGAATTATTTTATTTTGAAGTTACCATAAAGGATAAAGGAAAAAATGGGTATAAAAAATGTGCTTTCTTATAGAGTACTACTATGTAATTTGCAATTTCTGACCTTATTTATTTCCATAGAATTATTGGAATTGGATTTTGTAAATAAACTAAGTACAAGAAGTACGTGAGATAAAAATTTGGGCTAGGGCCCTAATATTAGAGGCTATAGAAACAAATTAAGCGTGTATTATATGTAAAGTTTTAATGCAAGCCGATTTAAACACTTGTTTTTGAGTATTTTCGCTTTTTTCTTCTTTCGTAGCGAAGCATGACTTAATTATTTCTATATAAAAAATATGGTTTAAAATAAATTGTAACTAATAACGGCAATATGTCAGTGCCAATACCTAGAAAAATTGTCCGGCATGTGCCAGGCATGCAGACCCTAATATGTTTGTACCTCTAAGATTATCGATATGCAATTATTCGACTGAACTGATATGCACAGAATTTACGAAATTTCCAAATATTGTGACGTACCAATTTTAAATGTTGAAATAAATATTTCCTAAATTATCGACTTTAATAATGCAATAAAGAATACGCCAAGAATAAAATAGTAATGATTTACGTTCATATGTATATTCTGTCTTATTTCTGTAGTTGGAAGGTGAAAATGATAAATCCAGTCATTGTTATGCATATAAGCCCCCTAACCTTAACTTTAAATCTGGTTAGGGCTACTCATTTTCTGCTGTAACCAAAAATTCTTCTTGCTTTACATTTCGAATTATGCGAATTATGCAATAAATTTTTAGAAGTATGCTGCAGATTATGCCACCACCAGGGTCGTTAAATCATTGTAATTAAGTAACCTGCCAGGTAAATGACCATACCTCCCGAAAACCCCGATAACCATGCTCGTGTTCGTTGACTGTCTATTAGCCCGAAATGTTCCGATATTACTCTATTTTTAATGCCGGCCATTTTATGCACAGATTATGCTTTATCAATTAATATTCTACGTATCGCACATACTTCGGAGATAAAATCCGATTTACGTGCAGATTATGCTACGTATCGCCGACATGCGCTAGCCCCAATTCTGGCGATTGTTATGCACACAAGCATCTAAAGTGTTATCGTTATTATTATGGATGAATAAAGCAATGCATCCACATGATTTTGAAGCTTTAGTTAAAATGACATTGTTGAGTTTTCTTTTTTCTTTATTTTAACCTCTTTGGTGCACTGCTTTAGATGATTCCTAAACCAACGCCCATGGGCGTTAATTTGCATAAATGCTGTAAGCAGCTATTTATTGATATCGAACAGGTTAATATATAAAGTAATTTTTACACTTTGTTACATTGTATGTACGTTGTGGGACCTGAATGGACCCTGGCCGGTTGGGGTCCATCGCCAAATTCGGAAAAGGGGGTCGATCGCATCCGTCGCATGCGACTGATCAGTCGCATGTGACGCATGTGATGAATGCGACAGATAGCAGCAATCGGTTAGAAGGAAAATATCAGTAGGATACGACTGATCAGTAGCATCAAAGATATCAGTCGTATCTATCGCATAATGTAAATAGAATCCTACAATTATAAATAAAGGCCGAAAAGGCCCTTTGGGAAAAACAATTCCCGCCCTTGACAAATAAAATAATACATTCGTTAATAAATAATCTGTCCCTAACCCGTAAAGTACATAAAGTGTGTTCGTATATCTTGAATAACCAACCCCGAAATCTCCCTTTCATTAAGTAAACCCGATCTAAAATCTTGTTAACCACTCGCCAAATCTAACACGCCTCTTTCGAACGAAATTAACCCAGAGTGGTTATACGACGTACCCAATTTTGGAGCTACCGACCTGACGATCTTTCGCCGTTCACAACGTGCATTTTTTTATTGTGTTTAATTTTTATTTATTTTTATTATCCATTTTTTATTAATTATGTAAATTTTTTATTATTTATTTGTATTGCGCATTTTTTATTTATACGCTTTTTTTTTTTTTGAAGCATTAAAGCATTTTTTCTAATACAGCTAAATTTTATTATAAAGAATTTTATAAATTTTGATTTCTTTTATGTAAAAGTTTGTAAAAGAACTTAATAATATAATTAATATTATTGCTTGAGTTATACAATTTATCGTTTGGCATATAATTTTAAATTTTTAAAAAATTCACCGATTTATAAATGACCTAGTTCATTCAAAACTTCAAGAATGACCTAAATCATGAAACGACTCAGAACATATGCACAAATCGGATTTTTTTGAATGATCATCGCCAATAAGATCACTAGATCAGGTATAGCGCGAAAATCACGCTTTTTTATAAAACAGACGATAACTAAAAATTTTGACTATGAAGCGACTTTCTGCGCTCTAATGAAACAATTTCCTCGTGAAATTTTGGTATAGAACATGTATATTGTAATCTACTCTAACCCTAACATGAGGTTTTAGTCTTTAAACATTGCGCATATTAAAGTTGGTTTGATTATTCGATTGGCGCATATACGACGATCTTTCATGGTCTCACTGGTGTAGCTGCCTTTGAAGGGTTTTCCATTTTGAGAAAATGGCGATTATTTATATGAAGCTGCGAAATGTAGAATTTGGGTAAGGTAGTATAAACCGGATTATTCGGTCATGATTAAACGATGCTAAATATTTTCATGAACTGCTGTTCCGTTTTCAATAATTTTGTTTTAAATGAATGCTAAAAACGTTAGCATTCATTTAAATCCAAAATTATCAAAACGGATTAGTCATAATCGAAATACTGGAGCATCACAGTGAAAGATCAGCCACCGTGTTATGATAATATTTTGTGTATTTCTGATCTATCTTTAAATGAATCATGCATTTGTTTATAACCATTCAAAAAAAAGATACGGAAAAAATTTGTTGTAAATATTTTTCCGGATCTTTTTTGACCACTGTATTTCTCCTTATTCGCGTTTATTTGGTATTATACAACGATTATTTTTATTTACTACAATAGTAAACTATTTACTCCGCTTACTTTCGATAATTGTATCGCGTAATTACTGCTTATTTATTAGGGCTGTTGACGGCTTGCATGGCTTTTAAAAACCATGATTTAAGCAATGGTTCCAATGATTATTGCTGGAAATGTGACACCACTCAAAATCAATTTAAGTGTCTGAACCCGATCACTAGATATAACTATTTCGCATTAGAGTCTCTAAATCAGGCCTTATATTTATCCGTTCCTGGTTTAGTGCGGAAATGTCACGCAGCTACTTATTTTAAAACTTATTTATTATTGTTAAAATAAAAATTTTCAAATATAGTAAAAGTTTAAAGTTAATAATATGAGAATAAGGAGTAAATTTGAAGAAAAAAATATACAAGCATGATCAAAAGAAAAATGTGTGCCCATTCCTATAAAATCCTTATATAAAATGACCCAATTTATTAACGCAATTTAATCCCCCGGGAAGAGTTAGAATTATTGCAAAAAAATAGTGAAGTAGAATATAGATTCTAAATAAAGACTTGAAGTAATTTCTGCTAGAGAAATATCCTATCTTTTATTATGAAGGAGATTTGACCCTGTTGGTATTGTTCTATCTTATTGTGCTGGGTTCTGCCTTTTGTTATGGAGGGGATTTGATCCTGTTGGTACCTTTCTATCTTCTTGTGCTAGATCTTGTCTTTTATTATGAAGGGGATTTGGTCCTGTTGGTACTTTTCTATCTTCTTGTGCTAGATCTTGTCTTTTATTATGGAGGGGATTTGGCCCTGTTGGTACTGTTCTATCTTCTTGTGCTGGGTCCTGCCTTTTATCATGGAAGAGATTTCCAGGATATGTTTGAGCAATAACAATAAGTGTCAAAAATATTGTGAGAGCTAATGTTAGTTTCATGATAAATGAGCCGTTTGGTATTTTATGAAAGTTTTGATACTAAGTAAAAATAATGAGTATTTAACAAGATGGCATCTTTATATATACATAATTATATGCTAAAGTTGGAAGCATGTTTGGACTTCCAAAACTTCTAATTCAAAATTATTTGATGTAATTCGTCTGACAAAAAAAAAAAAAAACGTCGGAAAATCTATAAATTTTGCTTCCATAAATAATTTGTGTTAAGTAGATGATCAAACAGGGATGCTTGCATTACGATGCTAACTTTGAAAAGATTTATTTTACAGCTAGGATGAACAGATCGCCATTAAGTCTATAGTCAAGAAATGGCATATCGACTATAGTATTATTTCTATTTTTTCTAACTTATTTAATTCGTACTTAATAACAGTTCAAAGTTTATAGAACTAGTCAGAATTATCAGATAACTAATTTTCTTCAAGAACACTTAAAAATTCTATCTCTGATTGGACGAAATGAACTACATCAGACTATCAGATATTATTAAAATTTTCAAGTACAATACGACATTTATATTAAATATCAAAATGTATCTTTACAGTTAGTATTAAAATGTTGCAAAGATTTTTTTATTAGGACACAGAAGGTAGTTTCATAGGCAAAATTTCCAGTTATTAGAGAATTTTTAAACTTTGTCTTTTTTCGCTACACCCAGTGTTGGTTTGACCAGACTAATTTAATCGGTCCATTCTAAGGATTATATTGGTCAAATTGGTAAAATGATAGACTAAAATATAATTTATAATATAATTTATATATTATATTTATATAACAAACTTGACCAATTTGACCAACAAAATTTTGGTTGATCACTAATATTGGAAACTGTGCAAAATCCCAATGCACATAATCCCAAAATCCTGAAATTACAAAAATTTAAATGCCAAAAGGCAAAATATTAGGGCTATTAGTCAGGATTTTGGATTTTTGAAATTGTGAGCATTGGTATTTTGTACTAAAAGCATACTTAATCAATGGTCCAATCAAAAACTGAATTGCAAATCAATTAGCTCACCCTAACCCTATTTTACAGCCGTTTTAACGGTGCAGATCACCATTTCAAGGGAATCCATTATACAGTAGTTCCCAGATTTACATAAGTTTCCAATACGCGCACTAATCATATCCAATTTTTATTGAAATCTTTTTAAAAACAGCTATGATATTCAATATAAAAAATATTTTTACGCTAAATTTTTTTTTAGATTGTATCACGCGCGTCTCAGCCTGATATGCTAACTAAAAACGTTAAGAATTGGGTTCTACATACAAAAACGCTTTTAATCCTAATTTAAACGCCCAAATTAAACCTGTATTTAACCAAATAGTTCATTTACTCAAATACAATGTAGTATTGCACAGAACATCTAAAAACCTCAATAATTTTATATAAAATAAAAATCAAATAACTTAGCAATAGTATTTTCTCTGCACCGTATATGCTAAGTTACGCATCATTTTTAAATTCTGTCATCTATGTCATTCTTTAATCGAAAAAAGACATGTCATTTTTTATTGGTATAAACTTTGCAAAAAAACCGTTAGAAATATTTATTATACATATACATTTAACCGAAAATATTCAATTTTATGCTAGATATATTAAATTTTACTCATAGATCTTAAAATGTTTGCATGGTCCATTGCCCACATAAAACGCGGACCGTAGATATTTCATACCGTATTGTGCCTCTGAATGTACTGTATTGTACTCCTATTTAGCTATATTATGTATTAGTACAGTACACTTGTTTTATATAAAGTGTACTGTATAGTATTAAATAAAAAAATTATAAAAAATAATACAGTATAGTACTTTAAACATTTTGTTTGAACTCACATTGCATAAATTCCTTCACAATCATTACATATAAATAAACATATTAGGCATTACACAATATTAATGTATTTATATTACCAATTATATATAAATTATTTTTTTGGATATTAAGGTGAGGTTATGCCATCTAGTCTTTATTAGTATATTTGTTATAACTAGTACAATTCTATTTATACATTTCTATTACTATATATCTATTCAGCATAGGACTCAAACATATTTATCTGTAACCTAAACCTATCAAAGTTTTGTATTGTGTCTTACTCACACCTAAACTGGATTTTTGTTTTACTACCAATTATATTAGATCACTTACATATTCTCCTCATGTCTTACAACCTATTTTTAACAACTTCTAAATTGATCCATCAGGTTATTTGTTTTTTTTGAGTTATCATCTTTGGTTTATCTAAAGTAAGAACCCTATGAACTGAACTGAACTGAACTGAACTTTTAGGTAATTTCAAGTTTGGTTCTATTTTTGAACCAAACTTGGATTTGAATTTTTTTTAAATCTATGTTCAGTCTAGGTTTGATTTCAAACCTTTTAAGCAAGTTCAGTTCAATTTGAAGTTCAGTTTAAAGTTTATAAACATGTTTAGGTTCAAATATTTATAATATTAAATTTTATTTAAAAATAACATGTAAGATTTTTGCTAATTAAATAATCTTTTGGAACTAGTTCCAAAGAGCTATTTAGTTAGCAAAATCTTATATAAGTACTATAAAATTAAAATTTAAAAACAAATACAATTACATTTCTATATAAGAATCTTTTATTATAAACATATTATAAGCATATTACCAATTATAAGTGCATTTATTTGTTAAGCCAACTACTATTAAATATATAAAAATAATTTTTTATTATAAACACATAAATATATGTTCTATATAAGAACATTTTTTGTAGGTCTTGATGGTGTGATTATATGAGAGTATAACTATATAAAAATATATATTTAGTTTCCAACTTTAATTTAGAACTTATTAGATCAAATAAAAATAAATGTAATAGAATCTTATATTATAGGCTGATAAATAACTTATTCTAATTTTTTTTTTTTTGGTATTAAGGTCTTCAATTATATTAAATAGATGTTAATAATTAATAATCTAGACAAAAAACATATTATGAAGCTCTATATTATCAATATCAATCAATGTTAGATCTTTAGAATTCCATACAATATTTTTTAAATTAGATTAACTTAAAATTAATAATAATAATTCAATAAAATAAAATAAAAAAAGGAAGAACTAATTAGGGGTCTGAAGTGCCAAACATGATACTATTAAAACATAATGTCTGTACTAAATATTATATTTTAATAATATTGTGTCTGCACTTTAGAACCCTAAAGCTAACCTTTCTAAACACATCCTTAATAGTACTATATCTACTTTGTGTCTTCTTTTTTTTTTATTAAATTCTTCTGTTATAATATACTGAGTCTAGTGTGCACTTTCCAAGTAACATCATAGTGGCCTGATGGTGCCTTTCTTTCTACAAAAAAACTTATTATGTTGACATTTTAATACTGTACATTTAGCTGTTTTTTTTCTTTTATCATACAACTTTTCTAAAAAAATTCTATACCTTACTTCTATTACCTTGCTTGCTAGTTGTACTACAATTATTGTCAACATTATTATCATAGTTATTACTATAATCATTATCATAGCAGTTGCTATAGTTATTATCATAGTCATTATTATGATTATTACTATGACTGTTGTTATAATCATTATTATAATTATTATCATGAACATTACTATAGTCATTATATGAAATATTTGATATAACTTCTTCTAATTTCATAGATATAAAACTTATTACTTATTGGCCAATTTTTTTTTATTTAATCTAATTCAATTCAAGATAATTACTTGTAAAAACTTCTCTAAAAATAATTGCTTTTTAAATTATTTTTTTTCTTTTAAAGTGGTAATTTTGTCTGCATATCTTTTATTAAATAATATATAATTACATGTAATATACATAGTACATCAATAAAAGTACAACTAGTCACACATATAATTTTATTTATTATCTAATTAAGAATTCTGCCTACAGGTTACCCACTAGATGCCATACCTGAGACTCATCTGTGAGTCCCCTATTTAAACTTTCTGATTTTTAATACTATTTATGTATATATTTGCAATACTTACATTACTATTGTAGTGATATTTGGATTAGGACTATCTTAGTTTCTATTTATATCAAAGTACCACCTCATTGGATGTTACTAAGTATCCATATTCC